CCCGCGCTCCCCCCTCCCCCCCGCAGGCGCGCGGCCCGGGCAGGCGCTGGGTGGCCTTGGTCCTGGAGGACGGCTGGGCCGTCTCCTTTTTTCTGGCCCCGGGGGTTGCGGGTGGGCAGCTCCTCTGCGGGCCTGGGTGCGACGCGCGTTTCCCAAGCCTTGTCACGCCCCGCCTAACTTCCAGGCTTCGCTGATTTAATTGTGAATACCGTTGAGGGTGTTTTCTGTGTGTATTGGCCACTTGCATTTTTCTCTGAATTTTCTGTTTATGCCCTTTACCATTTTTATTGGATTGTTGATACTCTTCTTACTTCTTCAAACACACCTTGTGATGTAGATAGTTGCAGATGCCAGAAGGAAACGCTCACAGGTAGCTCACTTCACCCTGCTCTGAGAGCCCACCTGTGTCAGCCCTGACCAGGCAGGACGGCCTTTTCCCCACATTCTCCTTGAGGGACAGGCACCGAGAGGTGACCGCTGTGCTCAAAATCACACAGCTGCTGGATGGAGAAGTCAGGATTAGGTCCCAGGCATTCAGCTAGAGCCTGGGGACTCTGGGGATGCTCTCCTGCCTCTATCATGTGTCAGACATAACCTTTGCATTTGTCTTTGGGTCGTGACTTTCTCTCTCTTTTTTTTTAGTCTTTAATGTATATATGTTTCATTTTTATTTTTTATTAGGAGCATATTCGTTATTACAAATCATTTTTCTGTATGCTCTTTACCCAACCTGTCTCTCCTCAAACCACCTTCCTCCCTCCCCCCATCTCTAGTATCCTTAGGTTTGTTCTCTCCTTCTGAAAGTTCAGCATATCGTTTTGGTCCTTCCTTCCTTCTTCCTTCCTTTCCTCCCTTCCTCCACCCATCCCAGTTATGAGTGAGGACATACAGTATTTCTCTTTCCTTGTCTAGCTTATTTCACTTAACATAATCTCCAGATTCCTTCATGTTGCTGCAAATGTCAGAATTTCATTCTTTTTTATGGTTGACTAGTATTCCATTGTGCATATATACCACATATTCCTTGTCCAGTCGTCTGTCGATGGACACTTAGGTTGGTTCCATAACTTGGCTATTGCAAATAGAGCTGCCATGAACATGGGAGTGCAGGTGTCCCTTTGACATGAAGATTTCCATTTCTTTGGATATATGCCCAGTAGTGGGATTGCTGGATCATATGGTAGCTCTATCTGTAGTTGTTTGAGGAAGCTCCATACTGTTTTTCGTAATGGCTGTGTGTTGTGACTTTTTCTGTTTGGGACATCATGTCCGGTGTCCTGCCTAGTGATGTTCTTGGTGGGCATTGCTGGGATGTCACCAGGCCCCGTACTCGTGTCCTCAGCACTCTCCATGCACAGGCTCTTGGCAGCCTTGGGCTAATCCTGGGAGCTGGGTGATGTGAGACTCCTGCTTTTGCAGGTGAGAGAACCAGACTTCTGAGGTGGTGTCACCAGCCTGAGGACACGCAGTGGGTGCACAACTGAGCCTGGGGTCAGATGTGCAACTCTGGAGTCTTTGCTTTTAGGAGGGGCTTCCTGACCCAAGGTTACATAAAGAAGTCCTATGTTTTTCCCATGCTTCTGGTTTTCAAAACTTTGACATGCAAGAATGTGTTCAGAACCCAGCTTAATAGCTCAGTGACTGGTCAGTGGACACATCCTAGGTCACCCTAACTCTTGCCTAAAAATCGAGCACAAGCTGTGGGTTTCTTCCGTGTGTATTGGTCTATTCATTTTTTTCACCTACTCAATTTTAGCAAATGTTCTCTAGGAAGACATCTCTTTCAGAAGATATTTACCGTATTTCCAACAAAGGGCACCTAGAATAGAACTACAAGTCAGGAAGAAAAAGGCTGGAGACAGTTTTCCCCTTAAATGGGCAAAGGATATGAACAGACACTGCCAAGGTGAGCAGTGAAAAATGCTCGCAGCATTAGTTATCTGGTGTTTGGGGTGTCACTGAGCTCCCCCAGTGGTGGAACTGAGTAAGGCTGCTGAGATCAAGCGTCAGGGAGGACGCGGAGCTACTGCAACTCATGCTTTCTGGTACGAGCGAGACTCGGGGTGCCTAACTGCTTCGGAAAGCTAGTGGTGCATGCGCTGGGGCCCAGAAAGCCCCAAGAGAAGATATGTGCCTGTGCCCACCAAAGACACGTCCACAGAACCGTGGCAGCATGTCGTAACGTCAGAAGTCCACTGGCAAAGATGGGCTGGCCATGGTGGCCATGGCTTCTGTCCCAACCGTCTGCTTTCACAGGAAATGGTAAAGGGCATAAGCAATTTTCAGGAAAAAATAGAAATGGCCGGAATAGAAACAGTCCACATGTCCACCAGCAAAAAGGGATTGACACAGTGTGGATGCAGTGAGAATGGAGGGGTTACAACTGCACAGCACACCTGAGAGACAGCTTCCTCCAGGGGTCTGCCCGGTGGCCATGGGGTCAGCATCTTGACCTGGGAGGTGTCACAGGATTTGAATTTCTAAAAATTCTTATACTCTGATAGAAAAGAAAAAGGCCATCCCTTTCATCTTGAGTTTTAGATGTGTTATACTGTTACGCACAGTACTTGGTTGGTCAGTGTCTTAAATCTCCATCTCAGTTTTCACAGCCCCTTTCCTATTCCTAATGCCCATTTATGTTTTTTCTCTCGATTAGGCTTGGTAGAGATTTGTGTATCAATCATTTTGGAGTAGTAGGTCTAGGTTTTATCTATTTTTTATTGTGGTAAAAAACACATAAGTTTACCCTCAACAGCTTTTGGGTGTACAGTACAGTGCTGTTAGCTACATATATATTGTTGTATAGCAGATCTCTAGAACTTTTTCATCTTGCACGACTGGAACTCTATACCACTGAACAGGAACTCCCTATTTTCCCCTCTCCCCAGCCCCTGGCAACCACCATTCTCCTTGTTTCTGTGAGTTTGACTGCTCACGTAAGTGGAATCATACAGCATTTGTGCTTTTGTGACTGGCTTATTTCACATAGCATAATGTCCTCAAAGTTCATCCCTGGTATAGGATGTGTCAGAATTTCCTTCCTTTTCAAAGTTGAATAATATTCTATTGTATGGATAGAGCCCATTTTCTTCATTCGTTAGTCCACTGGTGGACACTTGGGTGGCTCTCATGTATTAGCTATTGTGAGTAGGGCTGCTCTGACCATAAGACTGCAAATATCCCTTTGTGAGCCTGCTTTCAATTCTTTTGGGTATGTTCCCAGAAGTGGAATTGCTGGGTCATGTGGGAATTCTATGTTTAGCTTTCCAAGGAGCCACCATCCTATCTTCCACAGAGGCTGCACCATTGCACTTTCCTGTCCACAGCATGAAGGGCTTCCACTTTCTCCTCATCATCACCAGGACAGTTGCAACTTTCTGGGTTTTTTTGTTTTAAAAGATGACCGGTAAGGGGATCTTAACCCTGACTTGGTGTTGTCAGCACCACACTCTCCCAAGTGAGCCATGGGCTGGCCCTACCTTTCTGTTTTTTTGATAGTGGCCACCCTAATGCATGTGAGGTGGTATCTCAAGGTTTTGGTTTGCATTTCCCTGATAATTAGTGATGTTGAGCATCTTTTCATGTGCTTGTTGACCATTTATCTTTTGGGGAGAAATGTCTGTTCAAGTCTTTTGCCTGTTTTTTAATCAGGTTTTTCTTTTTTTGTAATTGGGTTGTGGGAGTTTTTTATATATTCTGGATATTTACTTCTTGTCAGATATATAGTTTGCAAATTTTAAAAAATATTTATATATTCATATGTATTACAGTTTGTATTAAAAAGAGACAAAAACTTGCCCGAAGAGAAGCTCCTAAAGGACCCAGTGGTCCAGATCTTCCAGTGTAATCTTCAGGAAACCCTCTGCCCTCCCAGCTCCCCTTTCCTTGGCTCTCCTGTGTCCCCACAACCCTGGACTTCCTCCAGCTCCAGCCCAGCACCTGTCTGGTTTTCAAAACTTTGACATGCAGGAACATGTTCAGAACCCGGCTTAACAGCTCAGTGACTGGTCAGTGGACATCATCTGGCACTGCCATGGCTTCCTTCTGGGTGCCCCCTGCTGTGCTCCAGCTGTGGGTGTGGGCATTGGAGGCGGTGGAAGGTGGTGGGGGAAGAGGCCAGGATCCAGGGTCCCTGGTGGCTGGGAGGGGATGAGGCCAAGAAGGGGCCAAAGTCTGCTGTGGGTGGGGAGCAGGCCACGGCCATCTAGGGGCTGTTGCTGCTGTGCGGGCCCTTGGAGGTGCAAAGCTTGGAGAACATGGCCAGTGTGGCAGGGAAGTTGGGTGGCGTGGCAGTTGTGTTGTGGGGAGCACACATCATCTGGTGGTGGTGGTGACTGTTGGGAATGTTGGTTTCTTGGAAAACTGTGCTAAAGGTGGTCTTGAGCTACTAGAGGGCTACCTGCAGCAGCTACTGTACCTGGTTGGCATGACCTGGTGCTGCAGCTCTTCTATGTTCACCAACATGGCGTGACTAAGGCCTAGCCGCTCAGGCCGAGCACAGATGTGGGCAGCGAATCGGTTTGTGAATATTTTCCTTCATTCTGCAGCTTGCCTTTTCTATCTGTTGATAGATTTCTTTGCCATGCAGAAGCTTTTTAGTTTGTGGTAGCCCCATATGTCTATTTTTGCATTTGTTGCCTGTGCTTTCGGTGTCATGTCCAAGAAATCATTGCCTAGACCAGTATCATAAAGCTTTTCCCTGCGTTTTCTTCTAGGGCTGTTATAGTTTAAAGTCCTATGTTTAGGTTCTTCATCTGCTGAGAGCTGGTTTTTGTGTGTGATGTAAGATAAGGGTTATATCCATTCTTCTACATGTGGAAATCCACTTTTCCCAGCACCGCTTGCTGAGGAGACTGCCTCACCCTCCTGGGTCTTCTTGGCCCTTGTCAGTCTTTTCACCACATGTGTGAGGCTTCTCTTCTGGCTCTCTGTTCTGTCTCATGGGTCTATGTGTCTGTCTTTATGCCAGTATCATGCTGGGTTTTTTTTTGTTTTTATTCTTTTCTTGATAGTGGTAATTTACTTGTTTACTTCTTGTATTAGGGTTCTCCAGAGAGACAGAACCAATACAGTACGTATATAAGTATGTGAGAGGGGATTTATTAGGGGAATTGGTTCACACAATTGTGAAGGCTGAGGAGTCCCATGATAGGCCATCTGCCAACTGGATGCCAGCAGTGTAGGTCAGCCCAAGTCTGGAAGCCTCAGAACCAGGGAAGCCAATGGTGTGATTCTCAGTCCAAGGCCAAAGGCTTGAGAGCCATGGGTGCTACTGGTGTAAGTCCTGGAACCCAAAGGCTGAAGAGTCCTGAGTTCTGATGTCCACAGACAGGAGAGAAGAGCATATCACAGCTCCAGTGGAAACAGAGCAAGACATTTGCCTTATCCTGTTTTTGTTCTCTCCAGGCCCCAGTGGATTGGATGGTGCCTGCCCATACTGAGAGTGGATCTTTCCCACCCAGTCCACTCAGGCCTATATGCTAATCTCTTCTGGAAACACCCTTATAGACACACCCCAAAATAATGCTTTACCAGGTTTCTGTGTATTTCTTAATCTAGTCAAGTTGACACCTAAAATTAACCATCTCAAGCCCACCTCTTGAGAACTTGGTGTCTGTGTTTATCTCCTTAAACCATACTTAATCTCCAAGTGGGATGATAACAATGTAATAGTTCTGCCTAACATGATGCATCTATCTTGCATACAACCAAAAATGCGTTAGTCCCTTTCCCAGGAGGTGGAGTCCTCAGATGATTTTACTCTTGTCCTGATATCCCATGACTTAAATGCAAACGTAAAGTTAACAATACTTAAATACTAATATAAAGTCAGCAAGTCTTGTGTTACATGATAAGAATAAGGGGACCAAAAACAAAGATGATTGCTTAATATATGTACGCCATATGTATTGATGCACAAACATATTCTTTGCACAATAGGGATGACAGTTATGACCCTCGTTTCTGTAACTGGTCATGTGGTCAAAGTTGGTATTTATAACTACCTTTTTTTACTACCCATTCTGTATTCCCTTTGTCTTCAGCGAGCACCTTAGCTGGTCATGGTTCTTTACCTGGTGGAGTGACCCAGACCTTCATTCCTGAAGAGTCTGGGCCATTCGTAGTCTTGCCTGGATTGGGTTGTTGTAATTTTCCATTGACCTTAATCACAGGACATGGTAGTACTAAGAGACGTCCTAAGGGATCTCCTGTATTCCAGATATAATCTTCCCTACCTCCATTGTGGAGTAGGAGTCCGACTTCCCCTTGGTGGTCTGGGCCGATCACCCCAGCCAGCACCACAACTCCTTTCTGAGCCTGCTGACTCAGAGGCAGGAGGAGCCCAACGTGGCCAGGTGGCAGCCTTCACTTCCAGTTCAGTGGGATCATTTTTGTGTCTCCTGATGGAAGCATTCCTCCCTCCAGAACCAAGACCTCTAGACCAGCAGAGCATAAAGTGGTGGGGACAGGCAGTAAACATTTTGCTAGTGGGTCTCTAGAGTTAATGGTGAGTGGTGCCACTTCCATTTCCACCCCTTTCAAATGATCATAATCGGATTTCCCACCCTCTTAACACTGTTACAGTGGGGACCAAGTTTCCAGGACACAAACTTTTTGGGGACACATTTAACTCAGAGCACTTCTTTTTCTTTGTTAGTTCTTTTTGCCTATTTTAAGTTTATTTAGTTCATTTTTAATTCTCCAGCATTTGGCTACTTACTGTATTATTTTCAAAGTTTCTTCCTTAATTATAACAAGTATTTAAGTCTATAAAGTTGCCTAAAGGATTGTTCTTAAATTTTCTAAAAGTGTTTGGAAGTGAGAGGGCTGTGTTTATCTTTTTCTTGCTAATTTTTAGTTTTATTGCACTTGTGGTCAGAGGACATGCCCGTGAGATCGCCGTTAAATGGAATGTTTTGAGGTTCTTTGTCCTTTAGTACACGGTCATTTTCATACCTGTTCCACAGACTTTGGGAGAGAATGACTACTCTGTACGGTGCAGAATTTTAAATTGTTAAATTCTCTCTGCAGTCTTTTTTTTCCCCCTAACTAGTCTGTCAAATTTGAGAGAACTATGTTAAAATCTCCTATTTCTGTGGTTTTGAAATTTGTTTCCAGTGCTTTTGATTCATTTAATTCTTCCTCTATAACTGTTGCCTACAGATTTGGGACTGTTTACCTTCTTTAAAAAATTTTTTTCCATTGTATGAGGTCCAAGTCCCTTTCGACACCCTCTTGCCTGTGACTCCACGCTAGCCAAGGGCGTCACTGTGGCCCTGCCCCTTCTGTGGGGCCTTGCGGGGCCTGCCGAGCCAGCCTTCTGTTCTTCACCTGTTTGTGCGCCTTCAGTGTCTCTTGTGAACAGTGTGTCCTGGCTGGTGCCTTTGTGTCCAAGCTGATCAGGGAATTGAACCCATGTCATGTGTTTTCTGTTCGGGTTTGTTATAATCTCACATTGTTTTCTTTTTTCTTTCCTGGATGAAATGCTCAAGCCTCTCCTGCCCCTACCCCAGTCTCCTGACATATTTGTCTTGAAATATTTACCAGTATTTTTAAACTTAGTTATCTATTTTAAGGACTAAACAATGCCAAAGCCCCACCCAAATGAGGATGAGATCTTTTAACAACTGTTAATCCCTAGCTCTAATGGCTTATGTTTATTGAAAACAATTATATTGTTTTTAAAATAACTCTTATTTTCCTCCCAGTAATATTTTTTTAGCAACCAAATCACCAGATTTTTTTTTTTTAAATGGTAGAAATGGACTGTAGCTCCAGACTGCCCCAGACTCCAACCTGGGCACACCATATGGTCTCTCCATGCCCTTTGCCCCCCTGGAGTCACCACGTGCCACCAGCGGGTGCAGAGTGGTCTGCATGAAGTTCCCACGCCTGCCCTGCTGTTGGACCATCGGTCCCCTCTGAGAATCCCAGGGAACGTTGTGGGGGTGGCCGTTAGCGTCTGCAAGGGGCTGCTCCAGCCGAGAAGGGAGGCTGTGCATCGGGGAGGAGCAGGGTGCAGGTGTTCCAGGCTGTTCTGTTTGCCCTGTCTGGTTATTGAGCACCCTGTAAAGCCTCCTTTTGAAGAGCGATCCTGGCACCAGTGGGCACAAGGCTGCTGCTGAGGGGCTGTCTCTCTGCAGACCCCTGCCTGTACATCCCGCGCTTTGCCCACCTGCTGGAGTTCGGGGAGAAGAACCACGAGGTGTCCATGACTGCCCTGAGGCTGCTGCAGAGGATGAAGAGGGACTGGATGCACACGGGCCGCCGCCCCTCAGGCCTCTGCGGAGCAGGTACACTGGGACCCCTGGCCACCTTCCCTAGGGACTTGGAATCACACTGGCCTCATTGGCCACTGCAGTAGTATCTCTGTCCTGACTGCAAGCAGGCTGAGCCCATGGGTTGTAGAACACGTTTGCAGAGCTGGCCTTGCACTAAGAGTTACCTCCTTGCCTCCCGTGCCCAGCACTGACACGGCCTGCCAGGGTCCGCAGCCCTTAAGGACTTCCACCTTTTACCCTGTTGGCCTCTGCAGGACCCTCAGAGGCTGAAGGACAGGATGCTTCCAGATGAGCGTTAGGATTCTCAAAGGCTGAGGGCTTCGACCTGGCTTCTTGGGTTTGCCCACTCTCGGGGGAGTGGCCATGTGGCCAGCCATGCCCAGGGTCACAGGGTGCCCAGCTCTCTGGCATGATTAACAGAGTGGCCCCTCATCTGAGACACCGAGTAATTACTGCAGAGGGTGCCCAGGCTTTCCGGCTAATCTCCCCCTTGCCCCCATCAGCAGGGCAGCTGTTCTTGTCATGCCCCTGTGGACCCTTCCAGGTTGCAGCTGCCATAGACAATCCTTGTGCTTTGCTCTGGGTGCTGTTGGGGTTGGCATGGGCATGGTCTGGCTGACTACACCAGCCCTGGACCCAGAGCCCCCTGCCCAGGAGGCGCCCCCTCGAGCTGGCAGGGCCCTCACTCCTCCTCCGGTGCCCCTTACCTCCATGCCCACAGTTTCCAGTGTTCCTACACTTGGCTAACAGCAGAATTAATACTGCCTGATGCACTTCCATTTGAAAACCTGATTTCCATGTTTGCACTGCAATCCCAGGCCTGTCGGTCCACCACAACCTTGGTTAACACGTCGCCATCCCCTGTGGTCCCATCCTCTTTTCCTCCTCAACCCGGGCCATGTCAGAACCCTCAGCTCCCATCACAACCAGTGCTTCACACACGAGCCACCTCAGGGTTAGCTCCTTTGCTTTGATGAGTTACGTGAAATTCTTGAAATCTCTATTTTAATTCTCTTTGTATTTAAAAATGGAATGTGATGTAGCCACCACCCAAAATAAGGTAGTGAGTCTCACTGTCCAGAAGTTCCCTGTGTAATGTCTCTGTTTAGGGAAGGGTGGGCACCCCTGTCAGCCCCTCACTCACCTGCAGTGGCCACCCAGGTGAGGCTCCTGCTGCCTTGGGCAGACCCATCTTGCTCCAGGCATCATCTTCCTGTGTGTGGGGTCAGTCACTGTGGCCACCCTGGGCTACACAGAAGCATTCTCTCTTCTGTATTCTGTCTTCTTAGTTGCCAGCCGTGGCTCAGGTTTACAAGGCCCCTCTCGTTCCTTTCTAGCACTTCTAGTTGCAGCCAGAATGCATGATTTCCGGAGAACTGTCAAAGAGGTCATTAGCGTGGTCAAAGTGTGTGAGTCCACGCTTCGTAAGAGGTAGGTGGCTCTAGGTCACGGCATGGGGACCATGGTGAGGCCTGCTTGTTGGAGCTGCTGCTGCCTCCCAAAGTCCCCACTGCCTCTGCTCAGCCCCTGGCCCCGGCAGTGTGGTAGCACCAGTTGCCCAGGACCCAGCCTGGCTGTGGTTGCACAGGAGCTTGGGTGTGCTGGTGGGCACCCCGCCTCCCTCCAGAGTGTTCCCTGCCAGACCTTCTGGGGCCTGCCCTGTCTAGTGAAGGTGTCCCCTCTCTTTTGATCTCAGCGTTTCTGTCTGAGTTAAGGTGGAAGGTGATTTGTACTGCTGCCCTAACTCCCAGTTGGGAAGCTGGCAGACGCTGTTTTTGACATACTAGCGAGAGGTTTTGTCTGTCTCCTATTTGGTGTGGCCCACCCTGGACTTTGAGAGCCTAGATGACCTGTCTGCCGGTGGGGGGCTAGGGTCAAGCAAGAGACCAATGTGTGTGTTTAACCTAAAGGCACATGAGGCAGGCAGATGTAGGGCGGGGCTCTGCACTCCTGCTTTGGTGTGCGGTGTTAACTGGTAACTCACAGCCCTTCCGGAACAACAGCTTCATGTAATAGACTTTGACATGATCAGTGTGACTTTGACATGGTGGGAGGTGCTTGCAGACCTGCGACTGCTGCTGAGTTTATTGCAAGTCTTACACACTTGACTGCTCTTTTTCCACTGAGATCATATCCTATGGCAGTTTCCAAAAGCAGATGGAAAATTATTTTGCTTTAGATATTCGACCTCTAATTCTCTTTAAAAAATTTTTTTGTTAAACATTTTGAAGATTGTGTGAAATGTAGAGGAGTGGATGAGAATTAAGCTTCATATCCTATGGCAGTTTCCAAAAGCAGATGGAAAATTATTTTGCTTTAGATATTCGACCTCTAATTCTCTTTAAAAAAATTTTTTGTTAAACATTTTGAAGATTGTGTGAAATGTAGAGGAGTGGATGAGAATTAAGCTTCTGTTGTTTGCAGAGCATAGAATCCCTATCTGCGTTGCTTGCCTGGGCTGTGGGGCAGGTGGAGGTTCTGGCTGGGCCTCCTTCTTCCTGGGGCCTTCTGAGCCTTCCAACCAGGACCGTGGGGACGTACGTGTGGAGCAATGAGGAGCCTGTGGGCCTTGCTCCCAGGAACCCAGGCTACTGGCAGGATTGGGTGGGGATTGAGAAGCTGCTAGAAAGCATCTGGGCCTAGGCTTGTAGTTGAGTGTAACCAGGGCACTGGGTCCTGTGGAGGGACTGTCTTGTAAACTCAGTCTTAAGTGCTGTTTCTGGGGCACTGGGCTCCATTTCACTTTTCTGTTTTAGGCTTACAGAATTTGAAGACACCCCCACCAGTCAGCTGACCATTGACGAGTTTATGAAGATCGACCTGGAGGAGGAATGTGACCCTCCCTCGTACACGGCTGGACAGAGAAAGCTGCGGATGAAGCAGGTAGCACTGTCCTGCTGCCTGGCCCAGCTGTACCACGCCCATCCCGCACTTGACTGTCTTGTGGCTTGGGCAGCTCCACCGTTGCACATCTGTCCTTATTTCAAAACAAGCTGCTTAGTTATAGAGGCTGCCTCGGTCTGCGTGCAGGCAAGGTGTGTGCACGTGGGCAGCCAGGGGCCTATGTGTCACTTTGCTCGGGCCTCAGGTAAGGGGCTCCTGGGCCACCGCACCTGGAGCCTCCCAGTGCCTCCCGACAGAAGTGCTTCAGTTCTGGTTTTGCTCCCACAAGCTAGACTCTAACGGGGATTCCACAAGTGATGTGTACTTTGTAATATACCAGAAGTCCAAAGAAGAACAGGGTGCCCATCTCACCACCTGGAGCCAGCCACTGCTGAAGTTGTGTTTCCTGTCATGGTTTTGTGTGCGTAGCTCTGACCCAGCCAGGGACCCGGCAGGAAACAGTGCCACACTCAGAGATGGACAGGCGGGTGGGCAGGGCGGTGGTCACTGCTGGTCCCACACCCTGTCATCAGCCTTGATGTAGCCGGGGCCCAGGCTTTCCCTCAGGCACCTGCACAGCTCCTTGGAAGAGCAGCCTCTCTCCAGGGGCCAGGCCCAGGCTCTGTCTCTCAGCACCTTTCTGACATGCTGCTTGTTACCTTTGTGTGGGCACCAGGGGCTGGCTGCCAGCGAGGCCATGGGGCACCAATGCAGCTCGGTTCACTAACTATTCTGTCCTTTGTTCTCTCAGCTTGAACAAGTCCTGTCAAAAAAGCTGGAGGAAGTTGAAGGTAACCGGCCCATCCTCCCGTACAGACGCTTCTCTTCTGTTAGAAAAATTGGTTTTGTGCCTACTTTTTCTTTAACTTATTGTTTAAGGTGAAATATCCAGTTACCAGGATGCAATTGAGATTGAACTGGAAAACAGCCGGCCAAAGGCAAAGGGGGCCCTCGCCAGCCTGACAAAAGATGGTGAGTCCCTCCCCTCTCCTGAGGAGTGTAGTCTGAATGCCCCCCAGCCATCCCACCAGCACCTCCCCCACTCGTTGACCTTTGACCCAACCCCTCCTGTCACCCCTTCCATGGCTACATAGTCCTACATGTCAGGGTCCCGCTCCTGCCCCAGGCCACTGGTCACTTCCTGGCCCTGACACTGTCCGGAATGTCCAGGTACTCCCTGGACACCCCTCACCACCCACCATGCTAGAGACTCCAGCCCTTGTTATTGAGCTGCTCTGTGGCCCCTGCCAGCTGGGGTCCTGGGTCACTCTTCTCACACTGGGCTCCCGCTGCTGCCTACAGGAGAAACCCTTTCCCAGTAGCCCTGGGGGCTGAGGCCTCTTCCCTCCCTGTGTCCTCCAGTGCTCAGGCTGCTTCCAGGGCTGTTGAAAGCTGGCTGTGGGTACAGGTTGCTCCTCAGTGCTTGTCCCACGTGCTATGGCCACACATGTCCAGAGTCCAGTTTGGGGCCTCTCAGGGCTGCTGCGCACATTCTAAGACAGATCTTTGTGGGCTCACACAGTTTCCATTTCTCTTCTGGGATGCACAGTAGTGAAGGAACATTCCCATCTGCCTTTTTAGTGCTCTGGGTCTGCGCAGAGCTGTATTGGGGACAGTGAGATGTGCACCATTCTCTGATCCTGGCACCACCACCCTTACCAACAGGCACTGCTTGCATTGGAAACGGCTCAGGCCCATGTCCTCCCATGCCTCTGTCCATGTGTCTGGAGCCTGCCACTTAGTCAGAGATGGAAAGTCTGGAGGAGGGGCTGGCACCTCCTCATGCCCTGTGCTTTTGCAGCAGCTCATTTACTTTTTCCTGTGAACCTGGGATGCTCTAGTCTGCCCCCAGCACTCTGTTCATCCACCAGCTAAGCACGTGGTTGCTACCCCTGCCCTGCTGCCCCCGTTGCCTCCTCCCTGAGAGCGGGCGTCTCTTTTCCTCTTGGGCTTCTCCTCCGTGTGCTAAGCCCCATGGCATGCCATCACCCAGGCCCCACTGCCTTCTCTGTTGCGGTCGTGAGCGGTGTCTTTCCTCTTGCTGTGCCTACAACTGCTTGTTGCTTGTGAACGGTACTGACTCCTGTGTGCTGACTTTGTGTTCTTACATGTTAGGAATTCTTTTATCACGTTTTGTATTTTTCAATTTATCATTGGGTTTTCCAAGTAATTAATTATGTCTTCTACAAATAGTTATTCTTTCACCACTCTTCACTAGTTTTTATGTCCCTCTTTCCTTTCTCAAGTCCAGTCCATTGCCTGGCCCTTCAGCACCTTGCTGAGTTGCAGTGGCAGCTGTGGGCACGTCCCCTGGCTTCTGCACAAGGCCTCGGTGCCGCCTCAGGACACAGGTGCAAGCTTTAGGCCAAGGGCCACCTTATCTGTGAGGTGAGGATATGCCCACCTGTCTGTTTACACTGAGTACCCTGATCTCTGAGATGTCAGATGCCAGCAGGTCTGTGGAGGGGTCCTCTGCACCAATGAACGTGGCTTGTGTCCAGGGCTTCCCATGTCCAGCCTGCCTGGGTCCTGGTCTTGTGTATGCTCATGCCCCATGCCTGTCCCATCCATATGAAGAGCTGAGCAATGTGTTTCCTGATGCTCTTGATGTTTTTGTTTCTGGGGTTATTTTTTCTTTTATCATTTCTTATTTTACATATTTTTATTTTGTTTTTTTTTTCCCCAGCAAGGTTGTTAATTTTCCTAATGAACAGCCTTTGCATTTATTCGTTAGTTCTGCTGTGACTTCTGCCCTTAACTTCCATCCTTCTTCCCAGCTTTGCTCCTGTCTTCAGCTCCCAGTCACCTGCCTGTTGATGCATCTGGTGTCCTGGTGGCTGCACATGCGCAGGCAGCAAATGCTCCTCGGCGATGTTCTAGCTATGGCCTGTGGTCCTGCTAGGAAGTGTTTTCAGGTTCTCAGTCTCAAGTTGTGTGTTCTCTTCCATGTGGGAGAGTTTTGGGGGATGGGGCCTGTTTCCTGGTTTTGTCGTTAACTTCCACATCCCTGCATTATAAGCAGGGAGCGTTCCTGAAGCTGTTGCTCCTCTTCTGTGTGGTGTCATTGTGTGTTGGTGGCCTGTGCATGGTCAGTGTTTGAACGCACTGAGGGCACTAGGGAAGGGGGTGCCCTGTACCCTGGGCACAGGTGGGTGTGGACGTGTCCCACCCTCACTGTCCATGTAGATGTGGCTCCAGCCCACTTGTTGCCAACATCGTTAGGGAACAATTTTAGTAGTTGTAGGAAGCTCGTTTACTTCTATCGCTAAGCCTTTTTTATGTGGCATTCTCTGAACCTTGGGTTTGTGCTTTTGTTCTAGTGGTTTTCTTCATGTGATTTTTTTCATTCCTCAGTTTCTTGAACACACACATCTATTTGCACCTGCTGTGACAGTGACAAGATGGGCGTGTTCCTCTTCCCATTCCTGGTTGTCGTTATTATTGGTGGAGTTTGCCTCATGCGTGTTGTTGAGGGGGCCGACCTCTGTGCTGCCTTGTGGGGCACAGCGGGGAGGCCGGTGTGGCCGGGGGACAGTGGCAAGCTGCTGGCTGGGGCGTCCTGGATTAGGACATGCGGGCTGAGGGCAGGGCTGTGGTTTTCACTGGGGGCAGAGGTACATGGGGTGGGGCTGCTGCAGGGACCAGGCCGAGAGGCTTGTGACCTGTCCCTGTAGAGCTGGGGCAGGAGGTTGGACTCTGGCGGTACTTCTATGGCAGTACTAAAAGTATGTGTAGTGTGGATGTCGCCATGGGCGGTGGGGCCTTCGCAGGGCGGGGCGGGGGCTCATTTCTGAGAGGCTGCTCATACAGGGCAAAGCTGCACAGGGCGGTGTGGGTCTCTGTGGAGAGCACCCTAACCTGTCGAGGAGGATCAGGTCCCCTTTTGTCTGGGAACATGATGCTTTTCCCCAGGGACACATTTGTCGAGATAGGACATGCAGTGTTACCATGGACTTTTATCTCTGTGGAGAGCACCCTAACCTGTCGAGGAGGATCAGGTCCCCTTTTGTCTGGGAACAAAGATGCTTTTCCCCAGGGACACATTTGTCGAGATAGGACATGCAGTGTTACCATGGACTTTTACATGGAACATGTTTAGAGCAAAGCGGTCTAAAACACAGAGTAAGATATCTTAAATATCTTTTTTTTTTTTTTTGTCCTTTTTGAGACCGGCCGCACCGCGCTCAGCCAGTGAGCGCACCGGCCA